AACTAATGTTATGGAAATACGTGCGTGGAAAGTTAAATAGTGTTAAACGTAGTCAGGTAGGTTGGCGATTGAAACTAGATATCATGCATGAAATAATAGCCACCTTTTTATAATGTTCAAAAGTAGACATTGCAAATTTACCGACTTCTCAATTTACCGGTAAACAGAAATTTCACAATAAACCTTGTCCTAAAGACGATTCGTTTCTCATTTAAATTACATGGGAATTTGTCACTTTTTACACATATTTCTCTCGCGGCCATGACAATCATATATTCTTGTACAGAATTGAACGCTCTACAGAAAATGTCTCTTACAATTTTTCAATAAACCTACTCCTTCTAAAGTTATTCCTACTATTTAAGTATAGCAGATTTATTTTAATAAATCAGCTATATTTAAATATCAGCTTAAATAGTTAAAACTTCATTATACTTGAAGATTTCTTAATTTCCAACCCTAGCACCATCAGAATTGTATATTTTTACAGTAATAGATTAAATTTTTAAAAAATAATGATAATTTTTGTCAAAAAAGTTGAAGAATTTAACAATTTACCGGAGTGGTTAATTTTAACCGTGAATAACTTTTGAAAGAGTAGGTTTATCGAAAAACTGTGAGAGACCTTTTTTGTGGAGCGTTGAATTCTGTATAAGAATATGTAATTATCGTGGCTGCAAGAGAACAAAATCAAGAGAAAAAAAAATATTTGGAAAAAATGGCAAATTCCTATGTAATATAAATGGGAAATTAATCGTCTTTGGGGCAAGGTTTATTGTGAATATTAAGGGTTTACAATGGTCTGTTATTATTTTTTAGACAATAAACTAAAAATTTAGAGGGCGTCGTGAAAGAAATAATCAATTTGATAAATAACGGACACCCTACTGATTATTCATGTATTGCTAAAGAGAGAAAAACGAGTTTATTTAAATGTGGCGAATTCATTTCTTCAAAAAAGACTTTGTGGGTATTTCGCCACTAGAAGAAAATCTACAAAATAAAATAGTAACACCACTGCTTTCATCAAACGGAGACCAATTTGTCAGCGGTAGTTTGTACTATAAAACAAATTTGCCTAACGGACAAAAATATGGTATATCTCATCCCGTTGTCGTAGGATGCAAAAAAAACAGAAAGGACAAAAAAAATATAAGATTTCTAAATACAACTACTCGAGAACACTTTGTTTTTTAGCAGATACATCTATTATAAACCGTTAACGTTCCGTTAAAATGACATTAAGTATAACCGGGGAAGAAGATATACCTCCCGAAACTTTAAACATTTTTTGTGCCTTAGGCAAATTTATTTTAATAGTAAAATAACGCTGAGAAATTGGTCTCCATTTGATCAACGCTGTGGTGTTTACAAAAAATAAGTTTTTTATTCTGTAGATTTTTTCTAGTGGCAAAAATCCAGAAGTATTTTCAAGAAATATTTATCTTATTCTCAAATGTTTTACTTTTGCGTGCACCCAATCTTATTGACTTTCATATATCCAAGATGAATATTCAAGTTTATTAAAAAGTTTTATAAAGCCAACTGACTGAAAATAAAAAGCTCGTTACGTTTTTCCAATAAAAGTTTCCGTGTCATTGAAAAAGTTTTCTGGAAGGCGGTTCACGCAGATATTTTTCTTTCTTGTTAAGAATAATCTACTTAGCGCTTGAAAAGAATACAGAAAAATATTTCTTTGCTAAGTTTTTTAGCGCGTCTGATATTGTCGTTGTTTTTATAGTGTATACTAGGAGGTATTGTAGATTGCATGGGAGGGGATGGGGAGAACTTAATCACCGCGACGTTATAGAGAGATCTATTATGTTCCCTTTCCTTGAGTTAAATTCATCATACATCCTCAGAGTTTTAACAAAAGTCAGTACCTGAGCCGGTTTTACAAAGGTTAGTTCTCCATCTCGGATATCAGTCGTACCAAAGTTTATGACTCTAATGGTAGTCGTCTCAGTGCACTAAGTAATGAGGTGTATCCTTATTTTCCCCATAGAATCTGCATTCAACGTTGTTTCTTACCTTCAGTCTACTGAGGTGTTCACTGAGGAGACAATATCCTGTTAAAAACCCCATGACAATCCGAAGATTGTTCTTACTCATATAGAGGAAAATCTTTCAGGTTCTTGAGTTCTGCTTTAAGTTGGTTTCCACTTGAAAAGCAGAACGGTTCTGGTCCAGTTAGTGGAGCGTTTGCTCCTTTTCTAGCTAGATCGTTGGCTTTCTTATTGCCTTCTACTCGTTGGTAGGAGGACTTTATTTTCTTTCCCTAATTTGTTCAGCTTCCCTAGTCACTCTTTGACCAACTTCGAATTGATGGTTACTGAGTTGATCGCTTTTAGTGCTGCTTGACTATCGGATTTCCTATTTCCGATAGTTCATATTCAAGATAAATTGTACGCCACTTTCAATACCGTAGATTTCTGCCTGAAGGATGGTGGGGTAGGTGCTCATTGGTTCGGAGTATTTAGTTTTTGGCTCAAATACTCCTATACCTGTTCCTATTTTGGTTCTGGAAGCATCAATATACCACTTTATGGTATGGTCTTTTACCTTTTGAGCAAGCGTTTCTCTCTTCCAATCCTTTGTATTGCTCAATACTACAGTGAGGTGTTTCTCAAAGTTACAAGTTAGTACATTCTTGGTATGTCATCCACTGAGAGTTGGAAAAGTGGAATTTTCCTTTTGAGGGTGTTCCAAGCTCCTAAACTGACAATTCCCCCACTAGTGTTTCTATCAATGACCATTCTAATCATTGTCGCATTGGCATATCTACCGACGACAATGTGCAGTGGTATTATAGATGACCTCCATTGCTGCTGTTGGGCATGTCCTCATGGCACCTGTGATGCAGATGCATTCCAATCTCTGTACTTTGCACAGGTTTTACCTAGCTGTACGTTGCTCTGGTTTTGTGTACCAAGCGACTACTCCATAGGTAATCACCTTATAGGTAAGTTGTTATTTTTTTGAAGTTTCGCTGCTACCACATTTTGTTTCCATTTTTAGCATGGGAAGCTATTACAATAAACAAATCAACAAATATGTTGCTAATATTTTGTTGGCTGGTCTGTACTTAATGTACCGTAAGATTGAAAAAAACGGAGTCAAAGACGACTGGGCATCGAATGAAATCGATAACATTTTTGGCAAGGTGAACTTCTAGACGCTATTTACTAAATACTTACATAAAACTTGTCAAAAATTAGCAATAATCGTATAAAAATTAAAAAAGGATGGAACATTGTCAGGCACACAAATCTATTTCCAAAAAATAGTTTTTTCTCGAATTTTAATCTACACCATTTAAACATTTTTACTCAATATAAAAATAAATTACAATCTTCTTAAGGCCAACTGGCAGTAAGAGCCGTTGAAAAATAAAAGAGTCATCAAATCATAAAGGGTCAAGTAATGACGTTAAGAGCTTGATTTCACCAAAGTTATCATCGTTTGCACTACCCAGCCGTCTTTGACGCCATTTTTTTTCGATCGTATGGTATAAGCAAAAAAAATATGAAAAAGCAACCAGAGATATCTCATCTCAATAAAAAGAGGCTATTGGTAGTACACAATTTCTTGTTCATTCATCGTTTTAACTTCATTTATTATTCCAATGCGGAGAAAATCCATATACATATATTCATTTATTAAGCTTTTCGCAATGTCAGCAAAAGATGTTACAAGATGTGGAATTCAACAAAATTTAATTTCAAATGTTGAAACTGAAAGAGAATTAATTATTTAAAGTAGAAAGTGTCACCAAGCAGGTCTCGTTTCTATATATTTGAAAGTTAGGAATGTTTTTGAATATAAAATGGGGGATTATTTCAGAAGTTTATTGAAAAGGTTCGTAGAAGCAGGAAAAGAAAGTTTGAAGTGCTTTTGTCAAATAAGTATCGTTGAAAAATATTTAAAAATTCTGTTTAAAAAGTTTCGATTTTGCCAAAGAAATGGAAAATGATTATTTTTCCAGACGTTTGATTTATTTTCCTCCGTTTAGTTTAAGTAAGTTTAAAAATAAGTTCTTTTGTTCCACTGTTTAAGTTAAAAATTAATAGAATTTCAATAAATTATTAATACAATGAAGACCTATTCTGATATAAAGTGAATTAGTGTTAAAGAGAAAATTAAAGTTCAAAGCTTCATTATCTCGAATTATCGAAATTAGTGGAATAAATTAGTGATTTCTATTACACAGGGTTTCCCAATATTCCGTGGACATAGAACAAGTACGTAGTATTTAAAATTATTAATTTAAAATTTATTGATTTTCTAAGCTTTAATGAAGTTTATTGTTAAATACCGGGTGCGTCTCAAATAATATGTTGCCTAATTTTCCGGAATACTATTCGGACCACACTGTATAATTTACAAATAATATTCTTATATTTTCCCATTTTTAAGGTTCCATACCCCAAAAGGAAAAAAATTCAACTCTTAAGGCCGCCTCAGACACGCATGCTTTTCGTCCGTTTTGCTTGCACAGTCTTAAGTTGCTATGCAAGACGGTGTGTGTGAAGCATCAAGTCGTCCGTTTTGTTTATCGTGTACCGTCAATTGACTGGCTTGAACGCAATCAGCCGCGGGTTAATTTTTCGTTCGCGTTCCAACTTGCTTGCGAAGAAAACGTTGAGTCTGATTGGTCTTCAGTCTTGCATTACGTCTTATTTAAAAAAAAATTTAGAGGAAGTATTTGCATACCCAGAATATGCCCATCAAGGATTATATAGCTCAAATTTCCTTTAATGGTAGGCAATTATTCAATGCAAATTAACTTTTTAAGTGAAATATTAAATAGTTTACAATATGGTATATCACTAAAAATATATTACTTTTAGGTACAATTAGGGCCCGATACATTTCAAAAAGTAGAATATTATTTTATATTAAGGCCGCCATAGACATGCATGCTTATCTATCATTTTACTTGTACAGTCCCAAATCATCATGCAAAACGGAGTGTGTATGATATCAAGTCGTCCGTCTTAAATGATGCGTTCCGTCAATTGTTTGGCTTGCGTAAAATCAACCGGCCGTTGATATTTTGCATGTACCAACTTGCTTGAAGTGAAAAGACGGTGTGTCTGTGCGGTATTTCTATTTTGCGTTTACATTTTATTAACGAAAATGGCTGACTTACGATTAATATCCAGGGAGTTTCTCACAGAATTTATAGATTTATATAGACAGAATGAGTGTTTGTGGAAAATAAAAAGTAAGGATTACTCAGATAAACAGAAGAAGAATGCTGCCTATAATATATTGGTTGAGAAATTGAAAGAAGTAGAGCCGGAAGCTAATAAGGACATGATTGTAAAAAAAATTAATTCCATGAGAACATGCTTTAGAAAGGAATTAAAGAAATATACGACATCATTGAAGACAGGAAGTGGAACCGAAGATGTGTATAAACCAAATTTATGGTACTTCGATTTGCTGCTTTTTTTGAATGACCAAGAGACGCCAAGACAAGGCAGAGACACGATAACTGACCAGCATGAGGGCGTTAGTGATGAGGTAAGACATAAGCTACTATATAGTAACCATTTTATCAATATTTATTTATAATATTTTAACAATATACTATACTTAAGTATTTATACATTTCTTGTAAGTATTTAATGGATCATATTATCTTGCCAGTTAACTTTTCCCTCGTTGTTAAAATATCTTAAAAATTTATTTCGGGATTCATTCGCTTCTGTTGCATAGTGTCTATTCGGTCCCCTTTGCAATCCAGAAATTATATCTGGGTTCATTCGTAATCCAACATTTACTGAAGAATTTTCCCAATCCTCATTATCGAAAGATGCTTCCGGGGTATATGAATCGCTGCATTTTCTGCGTAAAAAGTTATGTAGCACTGCACAACTTATGACTACAAGATCTATACGGTCCAATCTCATATTAATGCTGGTATGTAAAATTCGAAAGCGGGCAGCCATTATGCCAAAGACATTTTCAATTATTCTTCTAGCTCTCGAGAGGCGATAGTTAAATATTTTTTTTTCTTTAGATAAGTTGTCTTGTGGAAATGGTTTCAGAAAATCGGGACGCAGGCGGAAAGCCTCGTCGCCGATGAAAACGTATGGAAGTTCCTTTGCTGAATTTCTAACTTTCTCAGGCTTTGGTAGATTTAATTGTCCATCTATGAGTTTTTGGTAAAATGATGTCTGCTCGAGTACACCCCCATCTGAAACACGCCCATTTGTGCCCATGTGACAGTATATTATTTCATAATTTGCGTTTGCCACTGCCATTAATACTAAACTATTATAACCTTTATAATTCCAATAATATGATCCATTTCCGGGCGGTGGTATTATTCTAATATGCTTGCCATCTACACTACCCAAACAATTTGGAAACTGCCATTTAGTGTCGAAGTCTTTACCGATTTTTTTCCATTCATCTTCTGTCTTAGGAAACTGAAACAAAAATTATTTGTTGTATTTATGTTGTTGCAGGATGAAGATATACTTCGAGATATCAATGACCAATCAGAAAATGCAGTTATGTCAGATGTTGTGACTGTTGCTACCCCAAGCCTTTCACGATCAGCATCAAGAGCTACCTCAGTAGGTTCCAAAAAGAAAAAAAAAGATCGTGCTGATGAAGTTTTAGATGTTATAGCAGAATCGTTGCAATCAAGTAATAACCAAAATGATTCCGTTGGAAGGTATGATTCATATGGAAGACACATTGCTCAAGAACTTGAAGAGCTTCCCCCAAGAATGGCAATTTATTGCAAAAAAATTATTAATGAAGCACTTTATGAGGCACAGATGGAAAAGTTAACGGCACAATCAAGAGTGGTAAATGGTCCTGAGCCTACCTTGCGAAATACTGGTCTAAATTACATCAATTATGAAACGCAGCCCGCAGATGACATTCAACACTTAGAGTCACGGGAGGAAAATCTGTCGGTATCACACTCGACAATGATAAATCGACCAGAACTTACAACTACCGATCTACATCACAACAATAGTGATTATGGAAACCGTCCAGTAGGACAATACTTCTCGCAGTTTGTGCCAAATTCCAGTCAAATTGACTATCAATACAATAATTAGATCGTAGAAATCTTGGTACAAATAAGATGTTAATTAGTACGTTTTAGTTTAGTGTTAGATTAGTGTACGTTGTAGTTTTCGTTCCGTATTTTTTTTTTCTTAATAAAGAATTCAACAAACTAAAAATTTCTAAAAACACTCACCTTCATATATTCATTTTTTAAGCCATCATACAGAGCTTCACAAGTCTCTGGTATAATTTGTCCTAAACTTTGAGCAGAAATGGCACAGGTATATTTCAGGTCTTCATAGCTTCTGCCTGTTGCTAAAAAACGCAAAGTTGCAGTCAGACGTTCATGAGGAGTTATTGCTTTTCTCATTCGCGTATTCAGTCTTTCTATCTGCGGGGTTACGATTTTCAGCAATTCATTGTACGTCTCTTCATTCATACGTAGGTAATTAAACCAATCTTCAGGTTGTAACCTTAATTCCTCCAACAAATTAACGTGAGAGAACTCTGACCTCCTTAACAGCCATTTCTTTGACCACATGGTTCTACTTCTTTGCTTGTTTTTCTTTTTTATTATTAATATTGCAGCTGTAGCTGCTAATAACTTCCGGCGATCAGCCATCTTTCAACTCTGAGACTGAGGATTAAAACGGAATGTCTGTGGAGTATTATCATCTTCCGACTTGCATGACGACTTAAGACTGTACAAGTAAAATGATAGATAAGCATGCATGTCTATGGCGGCCTTTAAATGAGGTATTGTACCAACAATCAATTTATATTAATAACGGAGATTAAAAAATAACAGAATTTAACCATTTTTTTGACCATATTTTTCGGGGTCTTTCCTTTTTTTTCTTTTTTATGATCAAGACTGCTGCTGCACAAACAGCTAATTTATGACGGTCCATGTTTATTCTGAAAGCTGAAGACTGACGACTGAAGAGAAAACTGCACGTTAAGACGGAGTGTATGAAGGATTGCCAGCGTTCAGTGTTGCATTGCAACTTATGACTGTGCAAGCAAAACGGACGAAAAGCATGCGTGTCTGAGGCGGCCTTTATATGATCACTTGCGCAGAATGAAACAATAATAATATATTTTTCCTTTTATAAATATATAGGTAACTAAGGTTACCTAATTTATATATGAACTGTTAGTATAACCACATTTTTTTTATTTATTTTTTTTTATTTTTTTTATTACCTACAAATTTGTACAAAACCTTCGGTGGGTGAATACTTGTAAATCGGCGATTACTTTATGTTATTTTCTTCCGCTAGTTCTGATAAGGAAATAAACCGGTAAATGTCGGTAAACCGGTAATTCCGTGTTTTAATTAAATATAAAAAATAAAATAAAAATCTCGGTAAATCTGCAATCTCTAGTATCTATTTTGCACTATTGGATTTTCGATTTAGTATTGGCGAAATCACGCGTAAATTCAAACACTTCATTTCAGATATCCTGAAGCAAGTACTGTTGAATTAACCGACTGAAACCTCGGAATATTTGAAGTAGGATTAACGGAAATTTATCGTTGCAAATCTACAGGAATGATGTTCCCTCTAAATCCGTAATATGGAAATGTGAGCTAATATTTTTAACCGGAATTCGTTGTTGAGTACGTTTTTAACGAAATAATTTATTATCGATCACGCTATATGGATTTAATGGTTTTACCTCAACACGTTTTTGAAACTCACGCAATTTCCTAATGGGATTTTTGCCTTTGCCGGCTTTCTATAGGGTTTGCATATGATGATTAAGTACATTTTATTGCCCTTTACAAAAAATATCAATTACAAAAATTGATGCTTTGGATTTTTTTGTCAAAGCAATTTAATTTCCCATTTAAATAACATGTGTTTCCCCATGATGCCTTTCTCAACACAATTGTTCACAAAAAGAAACAATTTTTTTTCTGGAATTTTATTGCGTTGTAACAAATCAGCGTTTTGTAAAAATCAATACCTATTCTTGTAGAAAATTGAACGGTCTTCAAAAAGTCTCTGATATGAATTTTCATGTACCAAACCAAACCAAACCAAACCAAACCTTTCATGTAAAATGGGGTGAATAGAAACAGTTTCATAGGCTATTAGCGATATACCGGTTGATAAAAATGTGGTATTATTTTCCCGAATATTTTAAAACATGGGTCTTTGTTTGTTCTTTGCGTATACATATAATTTGATTTTTGAAAAATATGCATATAAATATTAAATAAAAATAACATTTATGTTTCTATTCACCTGCTATTCGGGAGAATAGAAACACACATTGATGTTAAGGTTTTTATCTATTCTATTTCCAACAAGGTGATTAGAAACAGTAAATTATTACATATTTAAGTAGGTTTAACAATAATTAACAATAGATATAATATAACAACTTACATGTACCAGAGCTTATGTATTACTTTAAAAATAAATATTTTATTTATAAAGTTTTCGCGCCATACAAAATAGGTGATAAATCGATCTCACATTTATTGATCAGCTGATTGACAGAAACATTGATTGCTGCCACAGATAAAAATATAGTTTTTACGTTTTATTGTGTATTACCAATGATAGAAAAATTAGATATGTCGACTCTTTTTACTTTGAATATTTTTAATCGTGATTTGATGTTTTTTCAGAAATTTTGTTTCTATTCACTACTATGTTTCTATTCCCCCCATTTTACGGTAATCGACTCGTTTGAAAGTTGTTGAATGTTAAAGTTCAACTTCAAATCGACAATTTTTTAAATTTTATCGAAATAATGGCCCAAAAATATAAAATATGATAATTTATAACATAAACATAAAATATGATTTTTATGTTTTATAATTACTATTCATTATTCAAAATTATCCATTATTTCGTGATAAAATATAAAAAATTGTGGCAGGTATCATATATGATTTGAAGTTGAACCTTCATTAACTCTCAAGCGAGTCGATTAAATGAAAATTCAAATCAGATCTTTTTTGAAGACCGTTCAATTTCCTACAAGAATATGTATTGATTTTTTACAAAACGCTGATTTGTTAGAACACAATAAAATTCCAAAAAAAATTGTTTGAATTTAAAGAATTTAAATTAATTATTGAATATCAGAAATATTTTTAATCGAGAAAACTCATTATGACATTTCAAAAAACAACGATTTAGATATTCTAGTAAAAGCAATGCTGGTATAAACAATGTATATAGAATTAGAATTTAGACGGAATAAAATATAATTACGCTCTTGGATAAATTGTTCGTAATAGAACGAATTATTTATTTAGGACAAACGGTTGCAAGTTCAATGTATATAGTTTTGAAACTGTTGTGCTTTATTTTAATAGCATTTTATCACGTAGACAATTAACTAAAACTATAAAGTTGTATTAAATTAGCGTTACATAAACAACAACTTTAGCTAGGATAAATAGAATTATTCAGTAAAGTATAACTTTGTCATTTAGCGTGTTTTCAAGAATAATAAATAATAAACTAGGAAATTAGGAGCAAAATATTACTATAATAGTTTAATATGCCATAAAATCAGCGTGTGTATTGTATTACATCTGTTGCTTCTAAGATGAGCAATAGAAGGGCAGTCATGAGAATGCAGACTACTAGAATGAATTGAAAGGATTACTATGGATATACCCATTTTTTTGGTTTCATATATTATGAAGAATAACTTATCTCCATTTGAGCACATAATATGACAATCTATTTTTATTTTCATTAAATATAATCGACCTCGTTGGCTCTCGCCACATCCATGAATATATTATAAAAATAAATTCGCCGACTCCATATTATGTTTTTCACGCTTATGCTGGAGACCTAATAATATTAACATTAATTAATTTGGCACAGTTATGGCAGTTATTAAGTTTTGTTGCACCCAAGAGAGTAATTCTGCCAACGCTATTAATACAATTCGTATTGTTTTATCTTCAATAACAGTGCCCTGGTATGTCAAACGCATTAGTCTGCTTTGTTATTGGCTTGTCGTGCTCGAGGAACATATATATTCATGTAAACTACATAAGTAAAAAATGATACTTCATTATTTCTAAGATTTCAGTAAAATATTTCAGAATCTACAAATCCCTTAAGTTTTGTGATGAACGAATTTATTGTTATTCATCTATCAACGGAATTATGAGGATGTTAATTACAGCTTTGCCGAGAGTAAAAAGTTTCTGTTCCGAGGGCCTATGGTCCGAGGGACAATGATATAACTGGCCGAGGTTATTAAAACTTTATAATACGGAATTTAGTATATTCTGTCTATTTTAAAACGACATAAATTTTGCAGTTATTAATCTTCCGGTATATGTGTAATAACGGCTGCTGGTAGGTAATTTTGTTGGTTGATAGGTTACTATAGTGTTAAATTACCTGTTTATAAATTGACAGTTGTTGTCAGTCGAGTTCAGTTTTTTGTCAAAAAATGCCTTTCGCTCTTTGAATAAGAAGACTAAGGATGGAGCATATCAAAAATCTTAGGTACAGCGCAATGGGCCTCAAATATGGCCGACTTAAATTCCGGTTTATCAGTGTCGTTCTAATTTTATTTAAAAAAATGTAAAACTATGATGTAGGGTAGACGTGGGGTAGACTCAATAATTTGTTGTTTTATTTTACGTTGTGAATAAATGTTGGTAGTTATTAAAATTGTCATAAAAATATATAATTCTAATAAAAATAGATAAGTTATAATAAGTATTTATTACCACAAACATCCGATACGCTACTGAAGCAGGTAAGTCAAATTAACGTATCTAAATTCTTTGAGATCTAATCTTTGACAAGTAATAAATAAAAGCTAAAATGCAAGAAAAATATAAATTTAGTTAATTTAAGTGAATTTCGTAAATGATCGGTTTACTACACGTATGTATATTATATAGTCACTTACTAGCGAAAAGTTGTTCCATTATTTCACTCAATTTTTGCCGAGATCTACCGCACGCTACACAACCAACTATTTTAGAGTTTTTTTCGATAAATCGCGATAGTGTCACTGTTAATTTAAGTTCTGTCACAATTTCCATCTAGATTTACTACCTTTATACAACTATCAGTAGTAGATTAAATAATAAATAACATAAAATAAGCTCCGTAAAGACTGACAAATCCACAAAATTTCAAATCAAATTCAAATGTGTCAAATGAATCGTCAAACAGAACTGTCAAGGATCCCCACCCTAGAGTGCTTTTATGGTGCTTTTTCCGCCCACCATGGTTGAATACATGGATAGCATTATGCTCCTTCCTTAGTCTTCTTATTCAAAGCTTTCGCTTTATATGAGTGTCCATTTTCATTCTATATGGTTAATCAAAATCTCTATTGTATTTCATGGTTATTACTTATAAAAGGAAGCGTTATTTCAAATTATTTATATGGAATTATAACTTTGAAATCAACAAATACTTAATAATTACTCAATAACAATGTAATAATAATAATAGCAATATATTATTATTACATTGTTATTGAGTACTATATAATACTATTATATTTATACTAGTATATATAATACTATTCGTTATCATTCGTCAATCAATATTATAAGTAATAAAAAATGCAAGATTTGAAATGTACTTACTATATGGTTGTGGCCTTGAGCCAAAATGTGGTTCTTGTAATAAAGGCTGCGGCCTCCCATTTGTGTTTTCCTTTACTGAAACAAAACAAGCAATCGATTAGAAAAAGTCCACATCAAAAACTAAATAGAATAGCAAAATTTCGGTATCGATATTCGTTTCTGAAATGGAAGTTTACCCAAATTCTCCATATTCAATTTGTTTCGTAATGTAAACCTATTTCTTCGGTAATAACTTTGTTGATATTGTAAAGTGCACCAAATCAGATACGAATCATGCGATGTTTGTCGAGATGCGACGAAAACGTAGACAATGAAAGAAAATGCTGGTTCGTTTAAGAAGCATTTGGAATAAATTTTGTTCGTAAATATTTGCAATATAAAAGTATACAAATGGAATTTTAACCGAAAGACATCTATACATATAGAATATTGTTCATTAAATTACATAATATTCCAGTATATGAGTCGCACAACCTTTAATTTTAAATAGTGATGGGAAAAACCGATGAATTTTAATAATCGAGTAGGTACTCGAGTTTCAAGCGATTTCAATAATCGAGCGATCACTCGAGCAAAATTTCGCTCGTATTTAATATACGGTTTTTCGCCGTCGCTGTCGCTTGTACCTGTACTCGTAACGCTAAGCAGTAAGCTGCGTGCGCAGAGCGCATATTCTTTCGATGATAGTGGCAAGCGACAAGCGACGAGCGACGAATAGTTTCTCTTGAGCATGCATGGAAGCCTTGTCGATGTAGGTGATAAAATTTTGTCACACAGTTACATAACAGATAACGTCGTATAGTCCTATAATTGACAATGCGGTCCCAATCAAAAGATCAATCTGTTGTTTGAAGATATTTTACCAAAAATACTGATAAAATATTGCCAATCTGCAGTATACATATGTAGCAAATTCGCTCGATAAGATCGCTCGCGTTCGTCGCTCGTTCATAATCGAGCGATGTCGGTTATTACAATAATAATCGAGTAGTTATCCCATCACTAATTTTAAATCATTGATTAGTTTCTTTGAGTAAAAAGATTAAGGAAGGGGCATATGGAAAAACTTAGGTCGAGCGCAATGGGGACCTAAAATGGCCGACTCAAATTCCGGTTTATCAGTGCCGTCCTACTTTTATTCAAAACTTATAAAAAAGAATGTAGGATAGACTTAATAATTTGTTGTGTTTTATTTTATATTGTTAATACATGTTCATAGTTATTGAAATTGTTATACAAATGTATATATTATTAATAAAAAGAGATAAGTTATAATTATTTAATAGCACAAGCATAAGAACCGCTACTAAACTACTGAAGCACGTTAGTCAAATTGACGTATCTAAATTATTTTTGACAAGTAGTAAATAAAAGCGAAAATGCAAGAAAAACATATATATGATAATAAATATCAGTTAATTCTAAATGAATTCATAAATGATAGGTCTGCTATACATATATGTCAAGCATATGCTATACGTATATGTCACTTATTCTTACTAGCTTACGGCCGGTTTTACAAAGCAAGTATATACCAGTAGGTATATAACCAATTCTTGAAATATCTTTTAAAATTTCCGTTCATTAAGTTCTAAAATGTTCGGAGAATAATTATTCCGAATTTATACATGCTTTGTAGAATCGGCCCTTACTAGTAAAAAGTTATTCCATTATTTCCCTCGATTTTTGACCAAAATCTACCACACGCTACACAACCAACTATTTTACACTCTTTTTCGATAAATCGCAATAGTGTGATACCTCTATACAGGTTGTTAATTTGTTTATTCTTTGCGGCAAGAGCTTTATGGTTGAAATATGGCAACCTCGGCCCGTTCGTCGATAGACGACGCGACGGGACGAATCGGCAGAAAACCCTATAAGTGCATGCGTTCTCAATAGGCAGTGTTGCCATTCTGTTCCCCTATCAGTAACTGTCGAGTTAACAACCTGTATATAGAGGTAGTAACACAGGTTGTAAATAAAATGTGACATCGAATTTGACAATGAGAAAATCATATTTATGCTGGTATTTTAATTGCAGCATTCTCTGAGCCGTATTATAAATTTTACTAATTTTAATGCTAAACATTTACTAATGCTAATAAAACAAAATTTTAAACGAGAGTACAACTTTAGCACCTCTTCTGCAAAATCATCTGCAAAGATAATATGATACCTTTTCAAAATTTACACAGGATTTCCTATGTCTCGTGTTCCGATGCACCACACGGTACATATTTTTTTTAAACAATTCTAGATATTAATTTTTCGCCACCTAACCTATGAGGAATTTCTAATTTTTTATAAACTTTTCATCCAAATTAATAGGTACATTTCTTGGACAATTTCAAATTAAATTTAAGCTAACAAAATTAAATTACCTACTGCTCCTTTTCAAATCTACGGTCGTGCTATGAGAGATATCTAAAACGAATTTCTCTTGATATTATTCCCAATCTGCATTTGCAAACCATATTGGCTGTCTAGCTACTATCTATAAAACCCTTTTCTTGTTTTTCTAATTTGCTTCATCTCCATTTAAATTAAATGTAAAGCATTAGCGTTTGCTTGTTGCTAAACATACTCGAAAACTAAGTTAAATTCATTCGGAGCTCGCACTAATGCTTTTAGATGTTTCATTAATGTTGTGAAGATTTAAAACGCAGAAAATTATTTACGAAAAAGTATAAGAAATTTATTATATTAGAAAATATATACAGTCCTGGACACTTCATCTCTGTAGTCTGTATTGTAATGTATACAACAGAGATATTAATATAAATGACCGGTTGACAGACAGAGAGACAAAATATAAGGCGGCATACAATGTTGCCGGTTTTTACGTGTGTAGGCAGAGATATGCGTGCCCCTTTAACAAGATCGCTATAGCGATTAACTTCTAGGCATTGAGGGTTACAAGGCAGGACCTCGTATGATTTTTTTTCAATAAATTATATTATAATTCTTTAAAAAAAATTGCAATATTTTTAGAACGTAATGGAGAAGAATTGTAAACTCAGTTATTAACGACAGCCAAAATGTAAAGAAGCAACAATGTAATGAGACTTATGAATGTTCAGAGTTCGAATCCACCATCTTCTGATGTGTATCAAATACTCGTCAGTGAGTAATGGCAGTAGATTTCTTTGTTGTAGTTACATTTTATATAGTTTCTCGAACCTTGATATTCACATAAGTTTTGTATGTCATCTATTAGAACAACAGAACTACGGAAATTTCCAGAGGTACACCCGTCCAAATATGAACATCGACTAACATTGCTTAACTTCGGTAGTCGATTAAGAACCCGGATTTTAACGAAGCTAGGCCGCTACGTAATACCGTAAGCCTTCTAGAACAATTATTGTGCTTCAGAAGATGTACGAGCAATTATAACGATTTGCATATGTGTACGAAATATACTTCATTCTTAAGGCGCTGTTAAATAAACCATAAGTATTCAAAGGTCTAAAACTACGTACATGACAAAGGCTTAACAAACCAAAGCAGATATATTATGTAAAGCTAAAATACACTAATTATATTTCAAACATCTAAAAGCTTTTGCGAGCTTCTTTTAATGTACTTCTTAGATTCGAATTTGTAACCAATTTCGAAGAGCACTATAGGGTTATTAAACATCATCCACAACAGGTAATTAAAATTAGTTTATAGCATATATTAAACTTAGTAAATAGCTTTTACGATAAAGTATTTAGTAAAATAATTTAAATACTTTTGAATCAATGTTGTTTCATACATAGACCCTATATGATGATGAACATAATAAATACAATTTACAGTATTATAGTTATTTATATGTATCAAGGGAATTATAAGGGTGTTAATTACAGAGGGCAGAGTTTCTGCCCGAGGTTATTAATACTTTATACTTCGCGTGGTACATAGATAATTTTATTTCTTACTAAATTTAGTACACTTTGTCCCGTTTTAAAATGACACAAATGTTGCATTAATTAATCTTTCGGTATATTTGTATTAACGCTGTTGGTATGAACTTTGTTCGTTGCCAGGTTACTGTTGTGTTAAATAACCTCTTTATAAATTGACGGTTGTTGTCAATCGAGTTCAGTTTTTGTAAAAAACGCCTTTCGCACGAATTCGGCACACGTTTGAGTACGATTCCATTAAAGTTGAGGAAATATTAAAAAAACTGAAGAAGCACGATAAGCGTTACTTCTACCTAAAAACGAATCCATTTACCAAAAGGAATATTAAAAGTACCTTAAGAGGCTCGGACAGAAAAAATATTTGGACGTAGCGTAATAATGGTTACATATACATACCTCCATTACTCGCTGACGAGTATATGACACGCATCAGACGATGGTCACGCAAGGCGTTTTCTTTCATGAGCTTTTCTATGACTGAAAATCCCGATACGTGATGTTATCTGTCTACCGCACTCCGGACATTCAAAAATCTCATTGCTCTGTTGCCTCCTCACTTTTTGGTTGCCGCTGTTAACTGAGTTTACAACTCTTCTCCATTCCGTTCTATTGTGAGCTGCTTCTTCCCACTCATTCTGCTTGTTAATCCCCTTTAAGTTTTCGTGGAAAATATCCTTGTACCTTTTGAGTTGTCCACCCGGCCTCCTCTCGCCGTCTACAAGCTCACCGTAGAGCAGAATTTTTGGTATGCGGTTTTCTTGCATTCTGCATACGTGACCAGCCCATCTTAAGCGGAACTTTGTAATCATGACTTCAATACTCTGGCAGTTAGCTTTTTCAAGGACCGATACATTTGAGACATGATGGAACCATTTGATTCTTAAGAGTTATCTAAGATGTATCTGTTGCAATTTGTTTAATGCGTTCATGTGTCGGCGGTACGGCATCAGCACCCAGGTTTCGCTTCCATATAACATGGTGGGAATTATTATTGCTCGGTTCATAATGGTTAATATTTGTCTTGTAAATTTATTATATGTTATATTCAATATTAATATTATTACTCAAAATCTTTTTTGTATTTCATGGTTGTTACCTATAAAATGTGAATGGAATTATGGCATCTCAATTCCCGTTAATAATGTCCCAAGGGGTATGTAC